TTACTTGAAAGACTGAGAGAGATGTCATCAACTGGCTCATTTTCCAAATTCCACAACTGCCGGGGGAAGGCTGGGCCAAAACAATGCCATCTGGGTCTTCCAAATAGAGGACAGGAACCCAATCACTTGGGTCATCCATCATCTCCTGCCTGTTGGGCACACTTGCAGGAAGCTGGATGAGAAGCATGAAGCAGCTAGGTCTAAAACCAGGCACTCTGATATGGAATGCAGCATTCGTGAGCACAGCTTAACCCAATGCACAACAATTACCCCACTTTTTTTTAAAGATTCATTTATTTTTATTACAAAGTCAGATATACAGAGAAGACAGAGAGGAAGATCTTCTGTCCGATAATTGCCAGGAGCCAGGAACTTCCTCCAGGTCTCCCACACACGTGCAGGATACTAAAGCATTGGGCCGTCCTTGGCCACTTTCCCAGGCCACAAGCAGGAAGCTGGATGGGAAGTGGGGCTGCCAGGATTAGAACCGGGGCCCATATGGGATCCCGGCCGCATTCAAGGCAAGGACTTTATCCACTAGGTCACGCCACCGGGCTGCCGGGCCCACCCCACTTTTTAAAATCTATACTCTAAAACTAGTATTTAACTTCTGTTTCTGACTTCACATTTTGCTTTCAGTATTTAAGAAACGAATGCATCTTCAAAGTATCTATATTTTGTATACGAAAAGTATAAAGATAATTTTATAATATGAGTAACCGAAGAAAAATGAGATGAGAGATGTAAAGGAGTCTAGTTTTGTGTGTTATGAAAGGTAAAATAGTATATAACTTTGGGATAGCAAAAGTAATTTCCATGGTAACAAAGAAAATAACTATATAGTATGCACAAAGGCAGTGGGAAAGGAACTTAAATGTTTCACTACAAGAAAAGCAGCTAAATACATACACAGGAACAGTAATGCATAGAATTTAAAAGATATAAGAACGTTACAAAGCACACAGAAGACCAGTATTAAGATGACAGCAGTCAGTTCCTCCTTATCAATCAGTTATGAAATTTCTGCCATACATTATAGTATGGATGAACCTTTAGGACATTACATTAATTGAAACAGATGAGTTACCATAAGACAAGTACTGTGTGATGTCACCTACATGAAATAGAGGAAGAAGGTTTTGTGGGTGAGATTTTTTTTTCACGTGTATAACATTCCCATTTTATGAGAGCAAAAGTGCTTTGGAGATGGGCAAGTGTGTTGATGACTAATCTAAACACAAATACCACTGAACTGAGCATTTAAAAAAGATGAAGGTGATATCTTGTGTGTATACTCTCTCCTGTTTTTTTTTAAGAAAAAAAGTGACTCAGAAATTCCTGCACAAGTATTCATAGTAACATTGATCAATAATGATTAAAATCAGAAATAGCTCAAAAGCCCACCTATTGATGGATGGGCTAGAGATGTGTTCTGTACATGTACTAGAATGTAAGAATGTAACAGTAAGAAGGACTTTGAAGTAGCAACACCTGTCACAAAATGAACAGATGCTGAATACGTTATGCGGAGTCAAGGAGCCAGTCATTAAGATCACACACTGTATGATTCCATTTATATGAACTACCCTGAAGGGGCAAATCCGTAGACAGACGATGGGTTACTGGGAATCTGAGTGCTTGCAAAGATAAGGAGGAGTGGGAGGCGAGTGCTAATGAGCATGAGATTTCTTTTTGGGGAGATGAAAACATCTTAAAATTAGACTGTGCTTGTGGGTGCATGATTCTTAAAACTGAGGAACTTTATGCCATGTACATTATTTGTCAACAAAGCTATTGGAGGGAAAAAATGTGGTACCAAGAAAGAAAGACAAAAGTGAAGACATTTTTAGAAAAAAAGACAGGCTACCTCTAAAGTGTCACAGCAAGAAGGATAATACATGGGATGGAAGCTTGATGACATGGAAAGTTGGACAGCAAAGTACATGTAGGGGAGGTCTAAGTGTTGCCCACAGGAGGAGGTGGGCTGGGTTGTGTGAGCATCTGTCAGAAGTGCTTCCCATCCATAGCCCACCCACCTTGCAGGTGCCTCACCTCAGTCCTACCAACCATCACCCACCTTTCCACATTCAATTTCCATTCCCCCAGAAGACCCATCTGCCCCTTTGGGATGAGTTAGGATCCTGTGTGTCATGCTGCAGGAGCCACTGCACCTGTTTTCACAGAGCTTGCCCATATTTATGAACTGGGACTTCACAGAGTTTATGGAAAATGAGTGTAAGAAAGAAAGAAAGAAATCCATGCCCAGTTGTTACACACGAGACATTTTCATGAGCTTTCTGTATATAGGCTTGAGTGACTCTTTGATCCAGGTCCCTTAGGCAGACTCATGCCTGTTGACATTCCCTATACATTGAACCAATTTTTTCTTTTCCTGAGAAAAAAGATGAGAATACATGATGACCACTGTTCTCCAATGAGTCATGCCAAGATCAGCCTGGATTTTTTTTTTTTAAGAAAAATCAGCTTCATATTACTGAAGCAAATAGAGTGGAATGCTCACAGGGTTCCTGTTTACACCTAGTGCCAGTGTGCTGTGTGACTGGGCTGTTATCCTCAGGAGCAGGGGGGCTGGGCGGCTGGGCCCAGCACAGAAAAGCAGCGCCATCTACATGGGACCTCATCACAGCCAACCACTTCACCTTGGAGGTAACAGATGAAGGCCCTGGTGTTCCCTGCAGCTCACCTGTCAGGAAGAACAGGGAGGGATGAGCACAGACTCATGTTGAAGCACAGCAGAAGACGAAGCCCAGCCATCTCATAAACAGAGGCTGACCCTGGAGAATCTGCACATGTTCAGTGACAGAGTTCTTTACAGAGTGAGAAGACAGCAGAGGACCTCCCTAGCTGGTCAGCTCTGAAGTTTGCTCGTGTCCTGCGCCTGCTGTTCATCTTGTTTCAGAAACAAAGCTTTGGCCTTGAGAAGTGAGCCCAGGGAACACAGGCCCACCCGGCGCTGCCACATGGGGGTGCTCATTATGTGCGGTTAAGTGGATGAATGAACTAATAAGGGATGAGAGCCACTTGTGGGGAACACTTGTTAGATGCAAGAATCACTTCCTGTGAGGAAGTGGGACACCATCAGCTCTTCCCGTACAGTCCCCTAAGCCTCCGTGCTCTCTGTCGTGAACAGCCTGTGTTCCTGAGACTTTCTGTGCCGAGTGGCCCAGCAGAGCTGACCATGAGATGCTGTGTGTGCCCCTCAGTTTGGGAGCGAGAGTCAGAATCCACTCTATCCAGAGGGCCCTATCCAGAGAGCAGGGCCCTATCCAGAGAGCAGGTTTCCTTCATAAAATCGAATTTATCCACAAACTTTTCAAAGCACCTTCATGTACAGCTCTGAGTCCTAGGCAGACTAAGCCCATTCCAACACACCTGACTATAATTCACTTCTTAATCAAGTAGGATGGCTTGGCCAAGACAAACCTGTTCTTACTTGGCTAGAGTTTAAATGTTTTCTTATCAGATTTGAAAAACATTAGTTTAGACACTTCTTGGTTAATAGAGCAAAACAAAAACAAAAACCACTAGAAATTTTACAAAAATATTATTACAGTATTAAAAAGATACATCAACATTAGAACTTTAAACTTTATGGCCTTATTTTTGAAACTATTTGCATCATTCTTGGAGGAAGATGACATAAATGGGTTAGTTCTTACGCTGGGAAGTAAGTGGAAATGATGCCATCTAGCTTGGAAGCTTTCAGTCTCAGAGTTGTCCCCTGTGAAGACTGTTACACATACACACACAAACACACACAAAACTGACAGGTCACACGGAGCAGTTTCACGAGAGCTAACTTATTTTTAACTATGAGTTTACTGTAGAAATAAAGTCGCTCTTTTTTGTTTATATAACAAAAATAATGTCTAACTTACAGAGAACGTTATCTATTCAATTGACATTTCTGCATCATGGCAGATACAAAGCTTTGTTTGAAAAAGAAATTCAGGGTTCAAGAACTATTAGTAAGAAGACATAACTACAACTTTATCTTGGCCTACTCAAAATATGCAGCATTAAACAGTGGGGTTGAAGAACTATTCGTAGAAAGATGTTTATGGAAAAGTAACCATGAAGAAGTTCCCACTCATGGGGCTTTACCCAAGACCAGGCCCTATGCTCAGAAGGAATCCTTTAGTTGTTGGATTACTATACCTACATGGCAAAAGAAGAAAACAGGGATATGGGGGGATGGATGGATTGTCTGTCCCAAGCCCTGAGAGCCTATACTCCCTGCCAAGATGTGTGTGTGTGTGTGTGTGTGTGTGTGTGTGTGTATGTTGGTGGGATCCCCTGCAAAGATGCAGCATGGATGTTCCAGAGTGTCCACACAGCTCAGGTGATGTACAGATAGGACAATAACCTGGATTGACAGAGATGCCATACTGGAAGTTTTCCATTTGGAGTAACAAAACACACAATTTGGTTACTTGTGCTAAGTCAAGGAATTAACTCTACTTTCCTCTGTGCCACTTGTGCATGGAATCAAAATGTGCTGAGAGCCAAACTCAACCCAGGGCTGTGGCTGGCGGCTGTGAACAAGCCTTTTGTGCAGAGCTTTAGGCACAGACATAATTCTAAGGTCCTTTGGCATGGAGCTCTGCTGCCACTCAGGTGTATCAGCTGTGCCTGGTGGCTCCAAGTAGCAATTAAGAGTGAAAAGCTGTCTACCCTGCTCTCCTCCTCTCACCTTTCATTTTCCTCTGTGTGTGAGAGACGGGGGATGGGGAGAAGAGAGGTCATAAATGAAATAAAGAAACAAAATCATTACTTTGCTCCAGAACTCACACAAGTCAAAGAGGTACAATCCAGTCATGAGACAAGGAAGTGCTAAACATGACAGAGCACTAAGTAGATCCCGGAGGTGTATCCTTAGCCACCCACGATGGGGGGCACCCATAACCTGCTGGTGACAGTCCAGCCTCCCCTCCCTGTTCTTTCCCCCTCCCCTGACCTCCTTGCTCATTGGGGCGCACCTGGGGTCAGGCCTGACGCACTGGTAAAAGGCAGCCATCTTCTTGAACGTGACGGGAACCTCAGGCTCCTTCATCCTCCTGCAGAAACTGGCAGCGGGGAGACAAGTTGGTTTCTTGTCCTTCTGCAAATGACCTTTGGCTCTTGGGAAACCTCTGGGTGCTGATCAGGAGCCTCGGCCCTATCTCCACCAGCAGATCTGCCGGGTGTGGTAGCACCCATGGGCCACCAAGAAGCAAGGCTCCCGCTGGCCAGCCAGCCAGCAGAGAGCAGCTTGGCAGGCACCCAGCAGCAGCAAAGGTGTCTGAGCTCTCTGTGTACTTCCTTCTTTCACCCTAGTCCCGAGGGCTTGGCTCCTCAGGGAGTGGGTCTGCAGTCGTCACCTGCCTCCCTATGATTGGAGGTGCTGCTGAATTGCTGAGAACGAAAAACAACATGCTCCAGCTTTGTTTTATGGCACTCACCATGGAAGCAGGCAAAGGGCAATGAGAGGAAGAGGCTGCTGTCCCCACCCAGAGAGGGCAGATCCGGGAAAGTAAGATCCAGAGCCACAAGGACCTGTAGTAGGTTTCAAGCCAGATCCACCTGAGTCCAGGGCTCCCCTCTCTCATTCCAACCACCCCTGACGCGCTTTGCTTCCTGCCAAGCCAGTGGCTAGGTCAGGGGGCATGCGTGTCTCCCTGCACACTTTATCTCTAGCTGTAGCTTGCTTTTTATTTTTTCTTAAAGGTCCATCCTTTGAGGTTAGATGGCACCCTAAATGTTTTCTGAATGGCTTTCTTGGGACCTACCAAAGGCTCATTTTACTCAGGGACCTGTGTACCCCATCCATTGTGCCACTGATAGGATTTCCACCCTTCCCATTGAAGCTCACACCTGGCAGGTGTACAGGCCACGCCCACCTAAGATAAACCACCCAGACAGCCTGCCTGGCCAGGTTCCTCACCCTATCCACATGACAAAGCCACCTGGTCTGGTGACTTCCTCTCTGATTACCTGCTGTTGCCACTTCAAAATAATAGACTTCTGAAAACAGCATTGTGATTCTGACTCAAGTCCCTTCCAAGTCTAAAGCCTGCTAACTACCATAGAGTCAGCAGTTTCTAGGCGATGTCTGGAGTGTTGATGGTAACTTGAAACAACCAAGCGGTGCGACTGTGTTACAAAAACCCTGGAGTAGGCAAGACGCTAGGGTGACTTTTGAAGATGCTTCCAAAATAATCTTCATCTTGCTGTTCTGTTTTTCAAAATGCAATTGTGTTCAGAGTTCTAGTGCAGTGGTTTACAATGTAAAGGAGAAAGTCTAACAAACACATTTGACAGTAACAAAAGAAAGCAGACTTCAGAGAACTTGGGCATCAACCACCATGGAATGAAAATCTGCTGGAAGACACCCCTGCTAACAGGTCAGCTTTCTCCCAAAGAGACAAACAGGCTGGCAGGGAGTCCCTGTCTCCTGGGAGGCAGTCCAGTGGCCTGTGCAGCAAGCAACGATTATTGAAGGGACAGGGATAGGACAGGTGTTTCTAAGGACTAAGCTCACATGGCAGTATTCTCTGCCCAGTGGCATGGACAGGGCAAACCCTACAAGACAAGACCCACAGTGGCAATTTTATCTGCTGGGGTCCGTGCAGTAGGTGTGGATGACACGAAGGTGGGAAGAGAAGAGCTCCCCTGTTTGGCAGCGCTTAGGGGAGCTTCCAGCTGTTCGGCAGGGCCCAGCGGATTTCTCTCTGAGCACCTTGACGCTGTTTCACCCCTGTTTGCATGGATACTCAAGCACCCCGCTAAGAATTCTGTAATCTATTGAGGCATTGTTGTTTGCCCCAGTGAGACAGTTTTTGCAACCAATGTGAGCTTGAGAGTTAATGTCACTGATAATGTCTTGGTGAGTGGGCCTTTGACAATTTACATACAGGAGCACAATTAGGCCCATGCCATTTTTGGACATCTTAGTGGGTACTTAACCATTGCCTCAGAATTTGGCCCAAGCATGTAGCACTCCTTCTGGGAAAGGGCTTGAAAATATCCTAAATATTAAGGCAAATAATGGGAGTGAGAGCTGAAACTGCTATGACAATAAATAGTTATTGTTATCTCAAAGGCTAGCATGTCTTTACAATTTTTTAGAGCATAGAAAATGCAATTGTTTTAGTTGCTTTTATAATTTTGAACTAGAGGAATTAAGGATGTTTTTATTATGGAAATAGGCTTTTAATTATTGTTTTATTGTTTATGGGGTTGTAGAGCCTATAGTTGTAGAGGGATTTAACATTTGAAACTTCTGTCTTGGATTTTACATTTTTTCCCTTGTAACCTATTTTCCCATTAAATAATGGGTAAATTGTAGAAATAGAAATGTGGTAGGAATGTACTACTGATTACCAGGTAATTGCATGTGCCTTGGCCTTGGTATCCTGGCTGTCGCTCCATGGCTACCACTGAAGAAAGAATAATGGCATGCTTTGAAGAATACGAATATAGTATTTTGCAGAATTATCTTTAGGGGCACCTGCTTAGCCCTGAAGTGCAGATGGAATGACCAAATGTCTGTACATGCCCCCTTAGTCTTGAAGTAAAAATAGAACAATTAGTTATTTGTGTAGAAGCTTGTGAGGTGTCTGAGTAGATAAAAAGGACAGTTTTTTCTTGAGCTGTTGCGAGAGTGCATCAAGAGACAGGGTCTGTGTCTGTGTCTTTCTTTATCTCCGACTCCACGCACCCTTTCTGAGCTCCGAACTCGGCTGGAGCTGGACCCCAGCATTTACCCTGCTCAGAGTCAGCCAGACAGAGCTTGAGCCCACCTCTGCCAGTGTTATCCCCGGGCATGTGGCCTGTTCTCTCTTTGGCAGCCTCATCAGTGCTTTGACCCAGGGGTGACCAAGTATGTAGGATGATACCCAGTGTGGTGCCAGTGCCCCAACAGGATACCATTCTAGATTGACACCAGAACTGCCAAGGGATGCGGTGTCCCATCCTATGGTCATACTGCTGAATGCCCAGAGTAAGAAGATGACTGCAAAGCCAGGCAAGCAAGATGTGATGCAGGCAAACTCAGCCCACACTTGTGTGCACACACACCATATAAGCATGTCACACACATTAATGCCCTCTCACTGCCTTCTGCACTTTCTGCTCCAGCTCTCTATGCACAGTTTCCACATCTCACATCTTTGTGTGACTTTAACTAAAGTGCTCAGGAATATATTTTCTTTGCTTTCTTTTGTGGGGCCCAATGTCAATACAATGAGGAAAACTCAACAGGAAGCCTTCTATGGGAACAATAGCAAGGGACTGACGGAGCTGCTCAGTGAGAAATCTGACACTCACCTCTTTCCTTTTACAGAAATTGCCTCCTAAGAATCCCAGGCTGAATCTGAGTGACCCACCAACATCCATCCTTTCTGGGTTGCCAGTCTGCGAACATGCACCAAAAGCCTTCAAAATCATCATTCTTGTTCTTCTAGTTAATTCCACATCTGGGGAATTTGTCCCGAAGGGGTCATCAAGCACCCCCAATCATGGAATTCTGAGTTCTGGAAACATTCTCCCAGATTCACCAGGAGGAAGACCAAATGGAGACTGGTTATGGTGTCGGGGCACAGATATACAAGGGAATGTTACAGTCACTCCATACCATGTCACAGGAAGATAAGGACTGACATGCCAGAATGCCCACACGACACTGCAAAAACAGGAGAAAACAAGTGATGGCTGTGCTTTTACAAGTGAGTATGTGGGTGAGCATTTTGCCTGGTGGTTTAGCCTCCAGTGTTGAGCGACATATATTCCATATTGGAGTGACTGAGTTCAAGTCATAGTCTGCTCCTGGTTCCAGATACCCACTAACATACGTCCTGGGAGGCCACAGGTGATAGTTCAAGTACTTGAATTCCTACTACCCACTTGGAAGACCTGGAGCTCTTGGCTCCAGGATTTAGCATGGCACAGCCCTAGGCATTGCAGGCACCTGGGGAGTGAATTAGAGAATGGAAGCTCTCTGTCTGCCTGGCTACCTTTCTCTATCTCTCAACTAAATAATACAAAAATATTAGAAGAGTGCCTGTGCAGCATGGATTCTGCTTCAGGAAGTATGGGCCAGAGTTTAAGGTACTTTTTGCATTTCTAACCAGATCCCGGTGATGCCAACAATACTGTCTCTGAACCTCCAGTGGCATGCTACAAAATGTGTGCGGGAAGAACCAGTCCTTTTTCTTTCCTTTTTGTTTCTTTTTTTCTAAAATGGCTTAATACATAGAAGACACAAAAGAGGGCCACAAACTATGTGAACAGAAGTCATCCCTGGGACACGGTGTTGTGTACATTTAAATTTTCTTGTGTTTGTCTATGCTTTGTAAGTTTTCTGACTGAGTAGGTATTTTGTTCATAATTAGAAGAAGCTCCAACACTTTCTTGGAAAGACAGGCAGTGTGATGTAAATAACTTGGATTTAGGACTCAAGATTTGAGCAGAAATTACTTTTTCTCCCTGAAGCTTGGTTTCCTAACTTGGAAAACGTAGAGGAAGGCTGTGAAAATGAAAGCACATCCAGTGTGTACGTTTCTACCCAGTGCCTGGCACCCGAGAGGAATCCCCCATGGCAGGGTGGCAGAAGCCTGCGTCTATGAAAAGCGTATTTCTGTGTTTTTTTTTTTCAAACGTTTGAACATTGACACTGGTTTTCTCATTTGTCTCCACATTACCCCTGCAACAGAGCTGAAGGAGAATCAGCCACGATGGTACTTCAGTGCACTGCAGAAACAGGGCCTGGGGAGCCTCTGGACCATGTGCCCCTTAGCCCATCCTTGCCTCTGAACAGTAACCCCTGCTCACTTGTGGGGTTTTCAAGATATCACAGTGTACCTCTCCTCTTGTAATATTCTGAAACTCCAAACTGTGGAAATAACTCCTGTCAATACATTTCTTTCAGCTCCAAAAGCCATGTGACTTTTGAAAATGCTTAGATTGGCTGTTTACGATGGTGGGGAATGAGTTAGGAAATGGGGAACTCTTTCCTCCACTGGGTTTTTG